GGTTTATTTTTTAGCCGTTATTTAGGATTAAAATCTATATTTTTTCTAGACAGATGTATACGTCTCTGTTAGTAGATTTATGGTACTATTTATAGAAATAAAAATATCCATGAAAAAAAAAAACTATATTTTTAAGGTATTTTGTTTGCATTTTATGTGTCCTGTAAACAGGACAACTGTCCAATCCCCAACTATTTTTCGGTCATCATTATCCCAATTTATTGATCACATTCCTTCAAACCAGTTTTGAAAAACAGCTGTTCATACAGTGACAGTAGGTTGATTAGGGAAGGATTCGGGAACAAATTATTTTGAACTTTTCTTTGGGTATCTTTTGTATTACATTACAAAAGTAACATGTGACACAACCTCCTAAATATGGTTTTGTAAGTAAAAGGAGGTTAATCCTATGTAATGTTTCATTGGCAATAGTACACTGTCTAGGCTTCCCAGAATACATCTCAAACATTACTAATTCCTACCTAACAGGTAGACACTTTGTTGTTCACCTTTCTGGCATAAATTCTGCAAGGCGAGCCATTAAGGCAGGTGTCCCAGAAGGGTCCTTACTTGGTCCCACTCTCTTTAATATTTACGTGAATACATTTCCTCCACACAGGACACAACACTTGCAATGTGATCCTTGTTCAAAGTGCATTCATCGGTCCAATCATCTAACGATTACAAAATTACACCTACGCACTAGAGACTTGGCTTGTAAAATCGAAGATTCAAGTAAATGTCAGCAAAACTCAGACCATACCCTTCCCCAGGAAAAAGAAAATCGAGAATAATCCAAACTTCTATAATAGAATAGAAGAGAAACACGCTAATGTGACAATCAAAATCGCGATAACAACCTTGTATTTAGAGTAAATATGTTAAAACAATCGATTTCGAGGGCAGCTAAAGGTCCCTCCTCATCAGGAGAACGAAATTCCTAGAAAGAGGGGAAAAAAAAAGAAAAATAAAGTATTGGCAAAGGAGTCTCAGAAGCAAGTGGATTTTTTTCAGCACTGCACGTGGTCATAACCGGATTTTGAATCAGAGTTACACTGGCCGCCTACTTTTACTGAGCCAGGATATCTGATTAAACATATAACACATAGACTAAAACACAAGAAAATCAGCGAAGTCAAAAAATAGCGAGCGAGGGGCAACTGCACCTTCACGCAGCAAGTCTGAACTTCTATGTCACCTCAATTCCTTGGACCAAGCAGGTCCTTTTTCTTGGGGTGATCCTCAACAATACTCTCACATGGTCCCCACACATCCCATCTATTATACAGAAGTTTCGAGCACGTAAAGCTAGACTCTTCCCCTTAATTGCTCGAAACAGTATTATCTATAGATGATAAGTTATTCATTTAAAAATCCATTCTACGTCCCATGTAAGTCCATTTGAGGCATATGCCTCTAAATGGAACCGAAAACGCCTGCAAACTGCTCAAAATTGTGTCCTGCACCATATTACTAATTCCGAATGGTATATTCGTAATAATAAAATACGTGAGGAAGTAAAGGTAGTTCGGTTAAAGAACACATGATTAATAATCTGGCTAGGAAATTTCACGAAAGACAAATTGACAATCCTGTTATAGAAATTGCAAATAATGATTTTAATGACCTAAACAATATAAATAGGCCATTGTTTATCTTAAATAGCTGGATCATGTATTTTGCATCTGCACGATTTAGTATCTGCATAATTTTGCCTCTCTAGTATAACATTATATTATATACCTATTGTACTGTATTTTGTTCTCTCTGCTGTAATTTGTGTGTTGCCTATACCATCACAGATTCGCAGCTTATAGCTTATACTTTTCATGAAAAATTATCAGTAAAAACTTTATAAAAATGATTTATTAATAGCCTTTTTTAATTAACTATGTCGGTTTAAAATTCTATTAATTGCTATATGTTGCATTAATTTGCTATGCTTAAGTTTCCTACTTACTTTTTCAGAAAAAATTTATTAGTTAATAAAAAAAAATGTGAAAGTAAAAATGATCCTTCTTTACATCTTGCGCTCACAAATCATTATGGGAATATCCAGTTACAGTTATTAAAGCATGTTTGCGAAAAGCATGTATGAAAAAAGCATGTCTGCGATGTTATCGTCATGCGATGATTTGTAGATACTTTATTTTTTACCACGATATTTTCGACGACGCTGATTTTAAATTGCGAAGTTTTTAACCGCTTTATTTTCGACGACGATGTTTTGTACCACGATGTTTTAGGACTGCGATGTTTTCTCCCACGTTGTTTGGTAGCACGACGTTTTCCCCTTGCGTTGTTTTCTCCGCGATGTTTTCGGCTGTAACCGGTTGTAAGACGTTCATGAAGAAGAAACCCCGTAAAATGCGGATACAAATTATGGATGCTGACATCTTACGATGGATACCTCTTCAGTATTATTCCTTATCAACGTACTGGACCCAAATTTCACAAGATATGCATGGACAATTTTTTCACATTTCATGGGCTACTTGTTCGTTTGAAAGAAAAATAATTTTGTGCAGCTGGAACTGTACGAGATAACCGAATGGCAAAATGCCCGCTTGTGCATTCGAAAAGAGTCAATAAAATGTGTAGAGACATTAGGTATTTTTGAAGCAGGAGAGATGAAAAATGAGCAACGCCTTTGCCGGGAATCGAACTACGGACCTTTGGAATACGCGCCCAGCATGCAGACCACTACACCACGAAGGTAAGCTAAGAAGGCGGGAGAAATTACCTATAACTGGAGAGAGGCTCATTTCATGCACTGTATGATGAAGCAAAAAAAAAAAATAGCTGCAGTAAGCTGGAATGATAATCGTGTAGTGTCTTTGCCGACACATTTCGAAGAAACAAAAGTGAAGCGCTTGGTGAAAGGAAGAAGGAAGGAAACTGATGTTCCATTTTGTGTAACTTCATACAGCTAATACAAAAATGGGGTAGATTTAGACAGCCACATAGAAGTTTATTTTACTTCTATTCAAGGAAAAGGCTGCATTTCCTGAACTGCTTTGAAACAGCTTTCATCGCAGAGTCGTAAATTTCCAAACTGTTCCGTAGAGAAAGTCCACATTTTAAGATTCCGAAGATCTATTACCGTAAGTTATTTAGGTGAGGCAATACCTAGGAAAAACATCAGGGAACGCGGTTCGCTGCAAAATAATAGAGTTCCTTCGTCTCTACCGCGAACACGTATTGATAAAAAAAAACCCGATGGACACCAGATACGCCAGTTAAGACTTGCAAAACAAAACCTACATCTATTTTCAAGTTATGCAATATTGGACTTTGTATCGACTGTTTTCCCAAATTTCATTGCTAATTGCCTCTTGAGCAAGTAAGCACAAGTTTTGTAAAATTTACTAGTGTATTGAGCCGTTGTCCTATTAAAAGAAGAGCATATAACTTTGTAGAGACATTAGGTTAATAGGAAACAGGGAAGATGAAAAATAAGCAACGCCTTCGCCGGGAATTGAACCACGGACCTCTGAAATACACTCCCAGCGTGCAGGCCACTACACCACGAGGGCACGCTAAGAAGGCAGGAGAAATACCTTATATACTTCCCCTTTTAAAGGGTGACTGGGTTTTAGGCGACCCCAGTCGCTAAATCCTGGGTGTGGAGAATCATCATCCACCACCCTTTTGGTTCGGGAGCCACTGTAGACCCATTAGGTTAATTGGAAGCAGAAAGGATGAAAAGTGAGCAACGCCCTCGCCGGGAATCGAACCACGGACTCCTGGAATACGCGCCCAGCGTGCAGACCACCATTCCACGAAGGCATACTAGGAAGGCGGGAGAAATACCTTATACACTAACCAAGTATGAAATTTTTAGCTTTAAAAATTTAATATTGTAAGGTTTTTAACATAAATGATTGGCTCACAGATTCATTTCTTCACAGAATGACTAAACTTCGCTGAAGATACAAAGCAACTTATTTTATATGCAGATCATGCCAATTGCTCAAGTGGGGTTTTTATTGCATGCAGATGAACTGCACAGCTAGAGATAAAAGGTAAGACGAAAATCCTTACAGCCGAAGAATTTTTTTTTTTTTTCTTTAAAACAAAAAAGAAAAAATATGCTAACAAAAAATGTACGCTTGCTTTCAGAGAGCAAAGCAAGTATTTAACTGTGACCAATAACCCAGCAGTTATGAAATAATATTAAATCTGACGTTATTCGACAGAGTTGACGTGGATCTGTGATGACTGGCGTTAATGATGCACAAACCAATGACTTGTCCTATTTCTTTCTGCTTGAAATAAATCAGCCTAACTCTTTATCCGAATAGTATTCCTTTCAGTAATTCTTACCTTAAATTCTTAGAATCTTTAAAAGGCAGTTGAGAAGAGCTTGCTGCTGGTTTTGCTTCTTCAGACTTTAACACCTATTTAAATTCATGTAGGTATAAAATTTTATCTTCCATTCTTTTAATATTTTATATGATAGGAAACAGATGTCGTTGATCTGTAAATCTTTAATAATAATCAATCCGTCCTATCAATTCGTCTCCTAAAATCATTATACTGTGCTGATCAGTAGCCAACTCAGGTCATTGAATAAATGAAGAGTTAATTGTAAATCTCTTACTAATATAATTTTTTATTAAAAAAAGAATTTAATTAAAAGGCTAAAAAAATTTTAATAGTCGACAAAATCTGACTTTCAGGTTGTTTTAATTTCAAATAAACACAAACGAAAGTAGGTGCCTTCCTTGACAGTAACTTGTTTGTAACTTGCATGATTGTTTGTTGAATACTGAAGGAAGTATACTAATTTCTGGCAATTCGTAGAATCCATTAAAAATTGACAAGATTTTACACATATCGAAGACCTAGGAAAAATTGTTATCTAACTCATGGTGCCCATTTCTAATTCAAATCAATCTTTAAAAGTATAGAGTCTTTGCCTTCTTTTCCTCATAAACTAGAATAGGCCGACCTGCCGAATTCTCGCATAGGCGTGAATAAAACTACTGACTCAGACGAAGGGTAAAAATAACCTTTTATTAAAACAAAACAGTTAAACAGAAAGGCACGGTCTTCGTGTGTTACAAAAAGCACCGTGAACTTGCGGTGAAAACTAAAACGTAGAATATAGTTTATGTCAAACCTAAAATAAATAGTGCAAGATAGCAAGTTACGCCTATGAGGCCTCACCGCCTCACTCACAAGAACCTCACCGGCGTGATACTAAATCTGAAAAGGCCCAAAGGCTTACCAGCGTAACAGGCGAAATAGCAAGGAAACGTGCGCTTGGCTAGCGAAACACGCTCTGAATAAACTCAAGAGATTCACCCGTTTAAATAAGCTCTTCACTTTAATTTACATTCTGGCGAGAGAATGTGAGCGGAAGTTGAGAAGTCCAGTACAGGTATCGAACTTAAAATATTTTTTTTTTTAATGCAAAATAAGGAAAACCCTACAAAACTTTACATTCTGTGTTTGAGATATTATTCTTCCGAAACTATCTTTTTATTTAACATTCTTAGAGACATTCGGAATATTATTTTTCATTTTGCATATATTATTAAAGATGACAAAGTAAAACATTATGCACATTGCTTTCAATTACGCAACGAGGAAAAGGAGAGTGCATTCATTAAATTTCACTTCTCTTTAACAAAATGCTTTCTTGAAATTCAAATAAATATGTGAATTCGTGCGTGCATTTTGCACGATATTTCCAAAAATGTTCACAAAAATAGAATCCTATCTGTTCTCGTAACATATTAATGAATATTTATTAGTCTGCTATTTAATTTTAAATTTAAGTATTAAAGATTTTAATTGCTAATAAATAAAGAAATCTGTTGTGTTTTACTGGTAGCATCACAATGTGTTTATACGTGTACAAATATTTCGTGCGCCTCTAGCTAAATTGCGGTTACTATCTTAATATATCAAAATCATATTATGTGAAAGTCTGAATTTAGTTTAACACTTTTGGTAACATTCGAAAATAAATAAACTTGAACGAATTGAAATCATAAATTTTAAAACCCCATCTTCTTTTGCAATAAAAATTAAGCTTATTATGAATAATCGCTATTGGTAAATAAGTTTATTGCAACAAAAAAATAAAGACATGAACAAAAGAAATGATCATAAAAATAGGACAATCTACAACAGCAAAAATGCTGAACAAATAAAAAAATGAAAAATGGAGTATTTTTAAAATTTTAATTAAACTTAACTCTAGAAAGAAAAATCAAGAGTTCACATGTTAAAATAATTCTTCTGCTTCTTTCAATTTTAAAAAAAATATGTGACGTCTTTCATGCTTTTAATTCTTCACTAAAATTCTACATTCGTGATCTAACTATCAAGTACTGATTTAAAGGATGTCGGAAGAAACAGAACTGTTTCTTCTTTGTTCTACCACACGTATTGGCAGATGTAGCCGACAGGCCTGGCGCAGTCGAAATCGTTCCACATATATTCCATCTCAGACATCATTTGAACACACTGCTGTGTGCCACCGCTGTCATTGGGTTGATCGGGACCCCACATTGTGAAGTTCCCAAGAAGCGAACCATTGTCGTAGTAGAAGATACCTTCTCTCTTTCGAACTCCAATCCAAGTTTGTAGAATGTTCCCTTTCCTCATCATGGCTAAAAAGAAAAAAGAAAAAAAAAAAAAGTCTGTAAGCTTATACTGTAATCCACTCACGTTTAAATATTTGATCCTCTTTTAAGTAATTAGCATTTACTATAAACCTTCATGATTTCAACATAAACGCACAATCAAAAACTTACTATGTAAACCAATACTGAAGCCCATCCGTTTGGAGAACGCTGCTGTTAGGAAAATTGTTGTTGCAAATGGAATGTATGTCGTACAGGAAATAAATGGTCGCCAATAAAAAATTTTAATTAAATATAGATTAAATAAAAATACAATCAAATTCATTTTTTTGCGGTTAATAATTTGCCATATGTTAGGATTATGTTAATTTTATTAACAGATTTTAAGTTAAATTTCCTTTCCTGTCAAATTCTTAACTTCAACTTACTACTTCCGGCCAGAACGTAGTTTTAGAATCACTCTGAATACATAAAAAGGAAGAGTGGTATTTAACCGCAAAGTTCTACTTGCTGAATTAGAGAGAATCAGTTTCTGATTTGCGCGCGTCTGCCTTTTCGGCTACTCTGTCGCAGAGCTGTCATTACGCTCGGCTGTACTCAGGCCCTTGATAGCTTCGCAGTCATTTAGCATTAAGGGGCCAACTCCGTTAGAATCGTGATAGCTTCGGCTATATCTTTTTTTAGTTTAGATTAGTTTTAGTTTATTTCTTAGCCTCTTCAGTTGAAGCCCAAGTGTCGGCTTTTATTGTATACTCCAAGACGGAGTTCTGTCAGATCTTATTTTGAATAAAACTCAAAAATTCTATATTAAAAATTACGAAGTAAATCTTAATCACTCATTTCCTCGAAAAAATTCCAGAAAGGATTTAAGCATGATTTAATTCGCAATAATAAATGAAGGCGTTATCTTTGTTGTTGCGAAACTTAGTCTCTCTAGATTGGCAACAAATCTACTATTCTGCTGTCTCAAATGTAAACAAATATGTCAGCCATGTTATTTAAAGATTAGGCTTAACCGCACTTAAACAGCTTTTAAATTGCTGATTTAATTGTACAAATGTTGCTTCCAGATTTACTGAAGGCATAAAAATCTTAACCGGGAGCTAAGAACAACGTAATTTAATCATTTTTAAAGCAAAAAATGTACAGTTTACAAACATGTAAGAGTAAAGAACCTGAGATCACTGAGCCGGATAACAGAGTGGATATATATATAAATATATTTATATACGTTTGATGCGGCCGATTGCAACCAAAATACGAAGGTGCACATCTACATACTACACTGACTACCAATAAGTATTTGGACACCTATGCAAATGACGATATCTGCGGTCCTAAGGTACGTGACGGACTCCGTCGGTATATATCGTGTAGGAAACAGCATCGGCTTTAGTTGCATGCAAGATGCCTTGCAGTTGGGAGCTCTCTGATTTCGAGAAAGGTATAATTATCGGGTATCACAAATGCGGCCGATCCTTAAGGGACATATCTAGCGATCTGAAGTACCCAAAATCGACAGTGGCCTATGTGATTAAGAAGTGGAAGGTGAGCGGTGATTGTCGAAATATGCCCCGATTCGGAAGACCAACGAAACTGGGAGATAGAGACCGACGAGTGCTGTCCAGAGAAATTCGGAAGAACCGCACCCAACTGACGGCCCTCATCGCAAGGAGTTTCAACAGGCATCCGGGAGTATTGGTTTTCAATGAATACCATCCGTAAGGAGACATCTGCTGGTTTTCAGGTCGTGTGTGCCCATAGCCTTTGATCACAAAGTCCAAACGCGCTACTCGGTAATGTGGTGCAAAGCACATCGAAATGACCGTAGAGATCAGTAGAAAGGTTCTTTGGAGTGACGAATCAGGTCACCCTTTACCGTTCGGATGGCGGATCTGGCTGGCGTCTCTGGAGAAGTTCTTTGCCAGAATGAATTGCCAACAGTCAAGTTCGGCGGAGGTGGAATTATGGTCTGGGGTGTTTATCCTGTTATGGACTGGACCCTGCTCCTATCATGGTAAGCTCAACTCGATGTGCCTACGTACTATTTGGATGACAGTGTGTTCCTACGTTGTGGAGTTTTACGGTTGGACCCTGTTACTCAGGACGATAATGCCAGTGTCCATATTTCGACGTTAACAAGATTTGGTTATGGTGCCAATGGAATTCTCGAAGGACTGTCTGACAAGAGTCCGACCTGAACCCTATCGAGAACCTCTGGGACGAGTTGCATCCCCGAATTAAGGGTGCACTACCAGGCAAAATTGGTGAAGGAAATTCTATGTCTTCTCAGCCGAGTGGAAGAAAATACACTACCTGTCATACAAAGACTGTGGAAAGTATGCCCGGAAGGTCCACGCTGTAAACTACCTCTCGTGGGGCTCTACCAACTATAATTTTGAATAAAGTTAGTTTTCTTTTCTATCACCAGGTGTCCAAATACTTATTGGCAGTCAGTGTATAACGTTCTGAGGCTACTCGTTTTTGAGTTATGCGAGATACGCATATACGTACGTATGCATAGACGTAACGAAAATTTCTCTTCAGAATTCATTTTAAACCAGTTTTATAATTTTTTTGGGAGGGAAAGAGTCCTTTATTCTGTCCTTACGTACGGATGTCACGCAAAAATATTCTGTTGCATTCAATAGCTGCCAATATGGATATTTTCGTTGAAATAGGATGCCTGAAGTTTTTTGCGATTGCAATACTTCCATTTTACTTCGTACAAGGAAGTAAAACAGGAGTTTTTGGACCAAAGTCTCGGTTTCTATGGTATAAAAATTGAAGTTTCATGCTATTTTAGTTAATATGTATTAATATTTCTTTTAGATTTTCGGTGTCTTCTTCATGCGCATCGTCTGATGCGCTGGAAAAGTGTAATTAGTTAGTAGAGAATTCTACAGTTTACCGTTTTCAAATTTAAATTACAGGTATAGTCAATATATCAAATAATTTAAAATAAAATATAGTCATTTTGAAACAAGAAAGACAAGTTTCTTACTTATTAGCGTTTCGTGATCGTTCAAATTTAAAGGCATGGCTAAAAACGCTTGCTCAGCACGACAAGCCGCATGTGCCTCTTGCCACGATAAAGGAGTTTTGTACAACTTGAATTTTCCTAGAAGGCAGAAAGTATAAAATAAATAATCGGAACACCTTCAGAACACTACTTAATAGCAACATAAGCTGACTAATAACGGAATAACTTAAAATCAATAAGACTTACTGCATTTGTTTGAACATTTTCCTTTTAAAGCACATTGCTTCGATTTCATAAATTCTGTCTGAAAATAATAAAAAATGTTTTATTTCAGACTGTAGTTATTTATTTTAACCTGCATTATTACAAAATTGAAAATTGTAGTTCACATTAAATACTTACGTTCGTAGAATATCATTCGCCGTATTAATATCTTTAGGTATCTGTAAGCTACTATAGTTAAACATTTAATTATTTTTGAAAACTTTTGCTAACTGTCGCTTCATACCATTTTGAATTCAACGATTATCGGTATTACTATTGTTTATTTTTAGAATATCTTTAAAATTAATATTATTAAATCTTAATAATATTAATTTTGTAAAGTGAAGTATTTAGAGAGATGGAGCTTAATTGCTCTGGAGCCCTTGCTTCTAGTTTTGGGATAAAATAATTCTAGTCGGGGCGCCCACCTCAGAAGAATAATCTATACAAATAAAAAGAAGAGTGGTGTCTTCGTTGTGCTTTGCGCGAAGCTAGTATTACATAGAGCCAGGGCACCTCGAACGATTTTTTCAAATTCGAAAGATCTTTTTTTTTTTATTTTTTTCGGTTTTATCGCATTATTTTGAATAGTTTAATTCTTTTAGAAATGTGGTTTTTGGCAACAGTTTTTCATTCAATTGTATACTGGACTGCTGACTGTTTAAAATCAACATCGGTGCCACTTGGAAAAATGAGGGCGATAAATATGTGCAGTTTTTAAATTTAATGTTTATCTTGGATACTGGACTTTTTTGAGACAAGGCAACGGGAAATTGGTTAAATTATTTATTAGGGAAATTAATATTTGTATTAAAGGATATTGCGTATTTCATTGCAATTTTGTTATATGTAATACATTATTAGCCCAAAGGCGCTTTGTCCCTGAAGGTCTATTGTTTTCATTTTGCGTTGAATCACTATAAATGTCCGTTTCACTTTTCAAACTGTTGCCCCCAAATGTTAGAGTCTTGCATTATGTTTGAAGAATTTAAACAATGAAGAATCTGCATAAATGTAAGTCTATTTCTCGCATTGTGATAAAACAACGGTACATAGAGCCATCGAGTTTTGAATGACGTCATCCTCCTACGAATATGGATATGTGGAAGACCAATTTGAAATTTGGAATTGTTTATATCGATTTCATATTTTGTAAAACTTTAACGAATTTTTGAGTAAAAACTCAACGATTTAAAAGCGAGCAATGGCAACACTCTAGAGCAAGGGGGGGGGACCTTTTTATCTTCAGCGGTGCGCGGAACTGTGTATCGGGAATTCTAAAGATAGGCTCACTTTAAAATTATTTTGCGACATTGCTACTGAACTGAATTTTATGGTTTAAGTGCGAAGAACGTGATATTTAATAAATAAAGTTAACACACAAAACGCTAAAAAAACGCCCCTTTGGACGTAATTTAAAATCTGAAACCTTTCAGATTTTTTCTCTTTAAAAAAAATTATTTTTTTTTAATGAATTTGTTCCGCAGAGTAAACTTCTGCGCAGTTTTTAAATTTAATGTTCGGTGTTCCCTTCAGGCATTTTTCCGGTACATTTAAAAGCTAGACGAAGGCTGGTCGCGTAGCTGCTAGCAAATAATAAGTAAGAAAGGGAAAGCTAAATAATAAGAAATAAGAAAGCTCCTGAGCTTCTTTAATGCAACTGAAAAGCAATTTCAGTAGAAATCTGATCTCGAAAATTTTATTTTTGATAATAAAATTAAATTAAAAATTGATTCTAACTTCTGAATGCATACTTCTCTTTCCTTGGGAAACAAACCCTTTGATAGAGGTCGAGACTTTTAAGGAAAGAAAAGCTCCCTCCAACATATCAAAGTCTTATTCTTTAGAAAATACAATGAAATTATGTCATGGGGTAAATTTTTCGTCCGACTCTAGTGTCTTAAACGGTACATCTAGACGTGAAAAAGAGTACCCGCAGACCTTTTTAGAACGATGTAACTAAAGAGGAGGAATAAAAATTGTCACTTGTTACTCTTTGTTCAGCTTCGGTGAAAATTTGCTTCCCTGTCATAATCTGCTTGACAACTAGAATTATACGGAGAGGGTCAGAAAATGTAGGACTCTTCTCTTTTTGTTTTCATACCTGCAGCTAGAGACATTAAATGATTTTCGGAAGCAGGCAAGATGAAAAATATGCAACACTTTCGCCGGGAATCGAACCACGAACCTCTCGAATACCGCCCCAGCGTGCAGAACCACTACACCACGAAGGCATGCTAGAAAGGCGGGAGAAATACCTTATATTTTCATTTGTTAAAATTTTCTCTATATTCTCTTGCTGTTTATAGCATTCTCTAGATTTTCATCCATTTTGCATTGGTGTGCTAGAAAAAGAATGATTTTTACATCTATTATCCCTTGAAGTAGTACGTCATATTCAGAGGTTCAATTAAACCACAGACCTGTTGAGATATTTCTCATTTTTTTTGGGTGAAATTGGAATTCCAGTCGAAACACCAAAAAAAAAGATTCTGTACTTTATTTTATCATTTAATTATTTACCACTTATAATAACATATTATATTTTTATTATCTCTTTACATTTTATTAATCTTAATATTAATTATTTAATTATTATGATCATTAATATTTAAGTTTCCTAATGAATTATTTAAATGTTTAATTGATAATTATTTTACTAGTCATATTATTTATTTATTTAATTCTGTTCTTCTTTCTTGAGAGTTTTTCACAGGCACCTGTAATTTTAGAAATTAATCTCTGGAGATAATACTCGCAGTGTGTGCAGTTTAAATCAGAGTGAGATAATTAACTGTGTATTTCCTTTTGCTTTGCATTTCTTCTTTAACTTCTGAAACCGGCTTTCAGAAGCAAAGCATTCTTTCAGAAGAATGTACTCGTATTTGTGCAAAGATTTTTAAGGTGCTAGCGAATTTTTAATTCATCTTCGGCTGCCGAAGAAAATGCAATTAGAGAGGAATTTAAATATCAACTCTTTTAGATAGTATCGATAGACAAAGGCAGATTGTGACGTTAATTTTTCTTTGGCGACAAATCCTTATTTACGTCAGTTTTTACTTCCTTGTACGAAGTAAAAAGGAAGCATTGTAATCACGAAAATTTTCGGGTATCATATTTCAACGAAAATATCGATTTTTGACTGCTATCCAATGCAATTTAATAATGTTTTTGTGTGACATCCGCAAGTAAGGACAATATAAAGGACTCTTTTCCCTCCAAAAAATATATAATTGATTTAAAATGAATTCTGAAGAGAATTTTTCGTGGCGTCAGTGCGTACATACGTATGTACGTATCTCGCATAACTCAAAGCGAGTAGCCTCAGAACGTTGAAATTTTGTATGTAGGACTGCTATAACATATAGATGTGCACCTCAAATTATATCATGCATGTAATATAGTATATCATAGGCATGATATAATTTGTCAGTCCCATCATCCTAGGCAACAGTGGCCTACTTATTAGGTGCCTCCTTAATAAAATAATGTGTTCCACAAGATGCAATCCCCTCTGTTACTCGGCTCAGTGACCTCAATTTCATCAACAATTTAAAACTTGTTTGCTGTTTAAGTGCAGCTAAGTCTAATGAATTTTGCGGGTGGCGGACATGTTTGTTTACGTTTCAAACTTGCCAAAAAAGCGGATTTTTTGCCAATCTAAAGAAACTAAGCTTCAAACAAAGATAATGCCTTCTTTTATTATTGCGAATTAAATCATGCTTAATCCTTTCATGAATTTATTCGAGGAAATAAGTGGCAAAGATTAAGATTTACTTCATAATTTTAAATTTCATTTTGAGTTTCTATGTATTTTTGCCTTGTAAGAAGTAAGAACTAAATAATGATGAGAAATACTGAATCGGGGTGAAAATATTTTTTTTTGTTTGTTCCTTAATTTCTTTTATACATCGTTTTAGATTTATTATAGTATTTGAATAGAACATGTGGCAACGATTCTTCAAATGATATAAATTTATATGCACTCTGAGTTATAATATGAACGAAATTTAAGGCTGTTAAGTGAAGCTAGCGCCATGTTGTGTCGCTATAGTAAACAAATAGAGTGAATTTTAGAGTGAAATAGAGCGGGACTCGAACCACTGACTTCTCGATTACGTGGCAAGTGTTCTGTCATTACACCACGAAGGCATGATAAGAAAGCTGAAGAAATATCTTATATAGCTATCAGATAATCCAATCGTAAATATGATTTAAAATTTACATATCGATCAAGTGACTCATAGGATTATGCTTAATAGGATCAAGTAAGTCATAGATTTTCCAAAGTGATTTGCCGAATATAAATTGTATAAAAACTGAAGAGGGCATCAGAACTCATCAAACTTAAAAGTTGTTAACAATGCAACTATGCATTACCAGTAGTGAAGGTATGTATATATCTGACAGACGGTTTGAATGTTGTTCTGTTACGCTGGTCTTTAAAAAATGTTTTTCTTTCCTTTAATATCTTTGACAGAATAGAGTACGCGGATTCATCAGTTGTTAAACACGTTATTTTGTATAGTTAATTTTTTCAAAATATTACGATAATCAATATTTCGTATTTCTGAAATCGTTCAACAATTTCAGAAATACGATCAGAATACATATTACGATTTCTGAATTTATTTTTAATGTGCTTATAGTAATAAAAATATGTATCAAGTAACTTTTCATCACCGTTAGTAGTATAAAAATGACAGTTCTGCGGCAGGAGGGTCAGAGGGTCAGGGGGCGTCGTCAATGACGTCACACAGAGGGCGGGGCCAAAGGCAACGTCATCACACCAGAGGAGGCATGGTCTCGAGTGGAGTTGAGTTTGTTTAGACTAGGCTGATTGAGTTGTAGACCTCCTGCTTTTCATTTAAAGTTAGTTTTTAAAAAATTGGCAACGGGAAATATTTTCTGCATCTTAATTTTGATGAAATGGCGATGCTGCCCTCTCTTGACGAAAAAAGTGAATTATATGTTTTAGAAATATATTTTTTAAGTCTGGTGTTTAAAATTATTCAATGCGCGACTCTGAAAACAATGTAA